TCTCAGAAGCTAAGCAGGGTTGGGCCTGGTTAGTACTTGGATGGGAGACCACCTAGGAAGATAGTAATATAATAATAATAATAATAATAATAATAATAAAATAAGAAAAAGAAAAGTATCCCTTTTCTGGAGAACTGGCATGGCCATGTAGATACGGAAATCCTAGAGTTGTTGAGGACACCCATTTCCAAGGCCAGGCTGTAGAACAATGAATTATTTTAAAGCAAACAGGATGGAGCCTCCACATTCCAGAAGGGCTTTCTGCTGTTATCTTGGGCCTTCCTGTGATGAAATGTTGTCAGCATAGATGGGCAGTGTCAGCAAGACTGCCAGCTGGGCTTTGACACCTTCTGAGTCACAGGAAACTTTCCTCCTTGAAGGCTGAGCATGTGACTTGTGTGCTTGTGTCTGGAGCTGGAGCTTGTGGGCGAAGTGGGTAAAGACACTGGGCCAAGGAGGCCTCATTCTCAAAGTGGACCCTCAAGGCAGGAGAAAGGGTTTCTCAAGCTGCTCCAGGGAGCCGTGGTGGTGACTGTTAGGAAAGGTCACAGAACACCGGGCTTGAGAACAGGTTTTGCCCTCTGGTGGGGTCATACTCAGACAGGAGTAATCTCTGTGGGATGTGCACTCAGGGTCTGTGCTTGTGCCCAGAGTAACCTCTTAGAGGGGTGAGCATGAACAGTAATGTCTCCTGTTGCCTACGTGGGGAGTTGGGGTGACCCTTTCCATGGCGAGGGCATTTACTCATTCCAGCAGACCGCCAGGTAGGCGTGAGCACTCCCCTTTCCAGGGGAGGAACCCAAGGCCCAGAGAGGTTCCGTTATCTACCAAGAGGCAGGGCCAGGATCAGGCCCAAGTGGGGCCACCTCCAAGCTTGTCTGCCTCCCTGCTGGCCATTTCCCCTTCCCATGTGCTGAGTCTTGTTTTTCAGGTGACAATGCCTGGGGAGCCCATGGATATGGCGTGTGGTGTGGATCACATGGTGACTCTGGCCAAGTCATTCATCTGAATCTCCTACCTGACCCGCTCAAGCCTGTCCCTGGCCTCATATCACTTGGGCTGTTTAGCAGAGGCAGCCAGTGGGACTCTCATGAGGCCCAGAGAGGATCAGGGCCCTTCATGAAGTGTGGCACTCTCTCCTATAGCCCTCAGCAGGTATGTACTGGAAGTGCTGGGAAATGGCCTGACCTGAGGGTGAGACCTGCTGAATTCAGCACAAGATGGCTGCCTTTATTGGGCCGATCTCCAGCAAGATGAGTCCTAGGGCTGCATGGCCCTGGCAGGGCGAGGATAATATGAATATCTTGGCTCTTTCCAGGGAACACGTGTCACATCTCGCCTGAGAAATTGGTCTTAGGAAAACTTAGAGCTCTCGTGGCATGCCATTTTATTTGATCTTATGAGGCCTGACAGAATGTAGTGCTCAGGAGGGCTTCTGTAGCCTCTCAGATCACAGCAGAGCTCTTGGTGGGTATCTGGGCAGGCTGTGCGTAGGCACCAGGCTGAGCCCCAGCCTGACTGAGGGAGCCGGCCGGCTTCGGCTTGGAGTTTTCATTCAGTTACCTCCTGCCTACCAAGCTATTCTGGTCAGCTGCTCAAAGCCGGTTCACTGCTGGGACACGCACCAAAATCACTTGGACTGAGGTTCTCCCTGAAAATATCGATGGATGCCAGCTTGGTACCCCATGGGCCCACAGCTGTCACCAGCGTCGTAACCATTCTCACTGCCCATCTTGGAAAGTGGAGATGCTCCTGCAGGAGGAAGATTGAGGCCAGATTCTTATGGGCTGAGGGCTCTGAACACATCCTGCAAAAGCTTGGCTGGAGTGCCAACCTTAGAGAAGAAAGATTCTAAAATTGTGAACAACATTTGAGATAGTAACTTGTCTTATTCTTCAAAAAAGTCTTAAAAAAAAATATCTTTGGGAATAAAGTCTATTTTCTGCCTTTTTATTTTTAAGAACTGAAGGTCTTTTTATTTTACCTGATCATTTAGAGATTAGTTTTTAAAAACAAGGCTTTTGATAAAGAGGCAACTAGAAGCCAGTGAAAAATACAGTAGAAGACAGTCATACTTGAAAACTATTTTCTGAACAGAATTTACTCCCACAGTTCAGTTGAAAGAAAATAATGAGGTATAAAAATAACATAATTATGTCACAAACCAAGATTTCACTCGCTGCCTGCATCCCCTTCCTTTCATTCAGTCACTCAACAAATACGTGTGTGCCCCTTATGTTCCAGGTATTGTTTATCACAGCGGGTCACATGGTAACAAAAATTTCTGTAAGCAGGTCTCATGAAACTTAAGTTCTAAGGGGTGCAATGGACAATAAACAAGCAAAATGCAAAGTACATTAGATGGTTGTGTGGGCCGTGGAGAAAAATAAAGCATAAAGATGGGCAAAGTCAGGAAGGTTGCAGCTTAAAGTGGGATCGTCACTGAACAAATGTCCTTGCTATGACCTGAGGCAGTGAGAACCAACCAGGTGGTGTCTGGGGAACAGCCCCAGGACCCCTTTTCTGAGCTCATGCTACCTCCACTTCTCTGTGGGCGAAGTTATGTTTATTACAGCAAAGCTTTTCCAAAAACTTGAAATAGAAATTGAAAACCATTTGTCATTTTCCTTTCTGAAACTGCTAGATGGGCCAGGTACCACAAGGTAATACACACCTTAAAGCACATGCTGATTTATGGAGAGTGAGCGCCGCAGAAGGTCAGGGACAGTAGGTGATGGTAGTGATGGAGCATCTCTGTTGATGTAGGAATGGTTTTCAAGCCTCCCACCAAGTGGCAACCAAGATTCAGCTCCAATAATTAACTCCACTTTTGACACAGCAACCAGGGTATACTAAGGGCTATCTTTGGATTTATTTGGATTTATCTTAAAACCCAGTGTCTTCCAGTCGGGCTTGGTCTGCCCAGCTGGGTGGCATGGCTGTATTCTTTGTAGGTAACACACACACACACAGAAACCACCTATGCCATTAGCTTGGTTGCTATGATTTATCATTTTGTTCCTATACAAAATCTCTCATTTAGTGAGCGTTTGACTGATACTCTGAATGAAGTGACCATGGGCCAACCCCGACATATCCTCTTCTTACACTCAGACTCTGTCCATTCATGTATGTGGGGTCAGTAGCCAAGGTCAGTGCAGAGCCCAAGAGAAAGGTGCGACCTGAGAGGTATGAGGACTCTTGTCACTTGATAGTCACCACCGTCTTCCCCCAGTGGATAATCGTTCCCAAGGTGCCTGGGTCTCTGTCTTTTGTCCCCTGAGCCATCACCAGACCTGCAGGCTGCCACTCGTAAGTGGGATCAGGGAGATGACTGACTGGCATACAAAACATTAAGTTCACTAATAAAAGTCCCTTGGCCTGCCATTCATGTAAGGCCAACCCTTGACACAAACTTGTCATGACCATTCTTGTTTTCTTCAGTAATAGCCCATATTTTCATGAATTCAGGAAACGTGTCACTTACTGTGTTCCATGTTGACAGGTCAGATGCTGAGAGCCACGCAGTCATGACAGTGCTCTGACTTGGCACATCAGGTTATGGTCTGACTGAGCACCCAGCAATATTCTTATGCAGGGTAAAGGCTCAGCTGAATTGGGGAAGATCCACACTATTCTCCCATGTCACACCTGGGTCCCCGCACCTAAAGGGGCCTGGCCACCTGACCACCAATGGGAGTTGCTCAAACCGTTCTGAGGGCCCTTCTCGTGCAATCTGCATCAGAATTAAGTGCTTCGACCTAACCATGCATGCTGCTGGCTGGGAGAGGCAGTCATTGCTCCTGGGCCTGCACTGCCCTGTGACTGTGCCCCAGGAATTTGCCCGCTTCCCCAGAACCCAATGCTTGCCTTTCTTCCAGGTGCATTACCCAGCTGCCCTCAGAGATTCATTGTGCACTGATCAGGAAATCACAGGCTCTATTTCACATAAACCTTGATATCTAATGTGGAACAGCAATAACCGAGGTTAAACTTGAGCTGCAGATACTGTTTGGAGTCCCTCATAACTGCTTTTCTCAGATTTGGGGCCACACAGGTGCATGTTCAGCAGTCAAGTTTAAAAGGATAAATCTAGATACTTTTGTCACCTCCTCAAACCAGGAGTTGACTGTCTTGCCAGGGAGGCAAACAGGTAGCCTGTAGCTGATAGTGGTGGGGGCTGCCCATGGGGGAGCAGAGAAATGATTGCTATTACTTTGGTAGCATGGTGGCAGCTAATGTGCCAGAAGACCAGAGAACAGAACACATGAAAACATGACCATCAGAAAAATACCCCATTGGAGCTGAAAACTGAACAGGCTCAAACTCATGCCGCAAACTCAGCTGTTCCACAGCTGCAGTTGCTGACCCTCATTCCAGCAGGAGGATATTGAGGGTGAAGCAGAGGCTTGTTGGGATATGTAGCCATATTCCTGAGAACCCACCATATGCCACCCCTTCCCAGGTGCTGGGGACAAAGTGGTGGGAAGGATGCATCCCTTCCAGCTTGTGTGTCTGGGGACTGGCTGCCTCTGATTAGTTTGGGTTCAAAGTGGAGGAAATAAGATGAAGCCACCTGCCCACAGAGCAGCCAAGGAGGTGGAGTCCATGATGGAGTGTTGGCAGATTCTACCCCTTAACTCGGCTCCTCAATTCTGGCTGTACCATAGGATTGTTTGAGGATGTTCATTTCTTTTTTTAGATATACCACATTTTGTTTATTCATCAGTTGATGGACATTTTGGTTGGTTCCACTTTTGGGCTACTGTGAATAATACCCAAACATTCATGGACACGTTTTACATTGGTCTAGCTTTTTATCTTGGAACATTCCCATACAAGTTTTTGTATGAATGTTTTCAATTTTCTTGGGTATAAACCTAAAAGTGGAATTGTTGGAGCATTCACATAAGTTTGACACCTTGTATCCTGTAATCCACAAGTTCGAAGACACTGAATAATTATTTCCCTTACTACAACTTGGGCTGTTCCCTGCGGTCTTGTTAGGGGCTCTCTGCCTGCTTCCCTACTCTTCTCCCTCCTTCACATCAGGACCCTCTCCATGCCTGGGGCTCATCAGTGTGAAGAGATGGGTCATGGGTCTAGCTGATGGCTGCCAGACCTTCCGCTGGTTCTGCTCAGGTAGAGCTCTTGGGAAAACATCTTAAAGGAGAAGCTCTACTACCAACCTTTGCAAGGTAAGGACCTCCATGTGCTTTTCTCCATCTAACTCTTCTTTCTCTGTGCTAACCTTCACTGTGTTTATAGGAACTTTCTTTAACCGTCAAGAGCTGTCAGAGTAACTTACGTTTCTTTCTTGGCTGTCCTTCACACTGTACATCCACACCTGTTGCTTTTTCTACCATATATTTTTTTTAAAAAATTTAAAAGTGTACAATTCAGTGGTTTTGAGTATATTGCCTATGTAGTGCAATCATGACCATGCTCTCATTCCACACATTCCCTTTGGAGAGTTTCTTTTTCCTAGCTTTCTTTACCATCATATGACACCCCACACCTACCCCCCTCTCCACCCCCAGGTGAATTTCACACAAAACCAAGAGGGGCAAAGTGACCACAAATGATGCTCTTTCCTTTCCGTGGCCTTGTGTTCTTGTGTTTCTTTTTGAGAGCTGGTAGAAGAGCTTCCAAAATTATATTGAAGGCAAGACCAGTTGAATCAGATTTTCAGGGTGGAGTCCTGGCATGGGTAACACGCGCCCCCCACCCTCCACTGCAGGGGATTCCTATATGCTCTGGGGTGAGAACCTCGCCAAGAAGCAGCCAAAGCTGCTCCCAGGAATTATGCCGTTGTTGGAGGTGGGCACATTCATGGTTCTGAGGGCTAGCTGGACATCAGCCAATCTTCTACATCCCCGACTACCCCTGCCACCCTGACTGCACTGGGCCCTTGAGCCATCCAGGGTCATCTCACCTGCGAGCTGAGGCCATGACCCTGGCCCTGGCCATCCTACTTTCTTCCTTTTATCAGCCATAGTCAATAAACCAGACCCACCGTTCAGAGGCTAAGCGGTTTCCTGCATGGACGTGCTCAGCAGCTCCCCATGCCCTGTGAGGCCTCTGGCCAGCCTGAGCACCCACTTTGCATTTCCACCTCCCCTGCTAGCCTTGTCCATTTCTTCCCTTGCCCATCCTTCCATTTAAGCTACAGTTCCCTCTTGGCCCTCTGCGACTTTGCTGTTCTCTCTGCTTGGGTCCCCCTCTTACCAAGCTCAACACTAATGTCCTGGCTTCCTGGTGTTCCCCCTGCTGCCAGGCAGTGGTCGGCCCCAGCCCCAGGGCACAGCATCTCCTGGTGGTCTAGCCTGGCATGGCATGTCCTAGAATAGCTCGTTTCTGTCTTTATGCCTCCTAGAGCAATTCAGGTCTGGCCATGGTAGATTCACCCGTGTCCCCAGCTCCTGGCACAAGGTGTAACACTGGATGGGTGACAGTGACTGTGAGCGAGCAGTGGGAAAGGGAGGCCTTTGCAACTGGCTTGAGAGTCTTGGGGCAATCAAGAGTCCCCATGGATGGAACCCATGTGGTTCCAGTGGGGTATCTGAGGGACTGAGGAGACATTAGTCTGCAGACCCCAGAAAGAAAAGCCTTCACAGTATTTAGGGTGGTGAGAGTGTGCTTCAGCCCCCGTTTTCACTCCCTTCCATCTCTAGCGCCACTTCTGAGGGACAGGGGTGAGCTGGAGAGGGGATAGGGTTGATGGGGTCGAGTGTGGGCACAGCCCTGCCCTGCTCACACCTGCCCTCCAAGGAAGACAACAGAGAGGGGGAGGAGGAAGGGTGTCCAAAGTCCAGGGCCTACTGGCCTTAGGCCTGTCTCTCTTACCTGGGCAGTCCCAGTGCCCACCAGCCAAGACAGCAGGAGTCAAACACCAGAGCACTTGTGGGAGGGACACTAATCCTCCTCTGCCACCAGCAAGGCCCTGTCCTGTTCCACAGTCCCCCTGACCCCCAGGTCCATTTCTGCCAGAGGCCTGGGGAGGAATGGTGGGTGTCAAAGCCAGTCTCTAAGGTGGCCCCCAACAACTTTGGCCTCTTGTGTGGTCTCCTGTGTCAAATCAGCTGGGCTATATGATGATAGAGTATGGTGGTGGTGATGGTGCATGGATTCTCAGGCTAGGGGAAAAGAAGCATTTTGGCTTTGGCCCTGGCCCTTGAATCCCTTGCTCTGAGGGAAGCAGGCACCATAATATGAGGACACTGGAACAGCCCCCTGGGAAGACCTGTGGAGAGGAACTGAGGCCTCCTGCCAACAGCAGCTGTGTGAATGAACCACCTTAGAAGTGGATCCTCCAGTCCCAGCTGAGACTTCAGACAACTGCAGCCTCATGAGGGGCTCTAAGCCAGTATTGCCCAAATTGCTCCCCAATTCCCCACTCACAGAAACCATAACGCATAAAGAATCATTTCAAGTCACTAAGTTTTGGGACAACTTGTTCCATAGCATCAGGTAACTAACACAGCTCATTTTGCTCTGGGGACCGTTTCAAGTCCGATTCTGGATGTTGGGCTGGAAGGCTTTGCTGCCTTCTTCCCATTCCCCTGGCCTGTGCTCCCTGACTATAGCATGGAGCAAGAGGAAACGAGACGTAGCTTTAGATCCACACAAAATCAGAGAGCTATCAGCCGACATCATTTTTTTCCTCCATTTTAATTAACACTTTACAAAGTACAAAATATACTGTCTTTTTTGGGGAACATTAAGTATTTTTTTCTCTCCATCATACAGTACATGAATCTCGAAGGTTTTGTGTTTGTTTCTTCAACAAAGAAAGTAAGCATGAGGAGCCCAGGTACAGGGCTGCCCAGTTCTGCCCCTCACCCAGACCCTGGGACAGGTGTAGGTGCCACTGCTTCTGCTGGTAACCTGGGGCATGCCAGGTAAGGGCCAGACTCCCCAAGATGAGGCCCTGGACAGGGCAGAAGTCCCTCGGAGCCCCACTGTATACCCGACATCCACTCACCCCCATCTCAAGATAACGGAAATGATTTTGGCATAGAGCAAGAGGGCTTGGGATTTTGTTAGGAGTCCTCCACCCCAGTTTTGGAGCCAACCCTGCTCAGTTCTTCCTGGACCATTTCCTGAAAAGGTAAACTGAGGCAGTGGACAGAATACGTATCAAGCTTGGCCTCTGTCTTGGGACCTGAATTTGGCCTGTTTTTCATCTTCCCCTCCCCAGAGCCCTGGTCTCCGACTTTGCTGGATGCTCTTCCTGGAGGAGCCTCACTAGTGAGGGGCACCGGCACCCAGAGCTTATCCCTCTCAATGACTTGAGGACCAGCTGTTTCTGAAGTTGGCTCGGCAGTTCTAGTCCTCCAGGCTGGTTGTGTGGACAGAACCGCTGCCAAGGACACCTCTGCCCCCACCACAGAGCAGTTTTAACAAAGTCAAGTGGGCCGGGGCAGTCCCTTGGGGTGGCCCCAATCCCTATCTTACAGCCAAAAGCTTCATTCAGGGCCTGCCGCCCCCACATGTAGCTTCCGGGTGCGAATGCTACTGAGGCCTCAAAACACTGAATGAGCCAGTCTCTTAGCTCAGATTTGGACTCTGCACACATGTGCTCTTACATCCGTGTGCATAGAACGCTGTGCTGACTCCCAGGGCAGGGGCCACCCTGCACTTCCAACTCACAGCCTCCCCTCCCCTTAAACTCCCTTACCACCAAGCAGTCCACAGGTACCATGAGCCAGGCTGCAGGCTACTGCCTTTACTCCAGGCCACTCTTGGTGCCATCAGCCTCAAAGACAGCAGGCTGCCTCAGCCAACAGCTCCTGTCCTTTACCTTCCCAGGAGAACAGGCTTCATAGGAGTGCCAGAATATCAAAGCTGAAGGCCAAAGCACACCCTGCGACTTTCTCTCACAGTCTACGCAGAGTATGAGAGGCAAGTAGCTTGTCCTTTTTGCTTCCTTTAATTTGAAAATGAAAGAAAAATGCTGGAATGGGCTCTGAGATGGTAAGAAAGGTATCCAGCTACATCAGGGCTCAACTCTCCTCAAAACCCTTGGCCCCTCTTTCCAAGTCTTTCCTCCACTGAGTGACCATCGTCCCCACCACCTTGGTTGGCTCCCCTCCCAGGCAGCCTCTTTGAATGCAGGGATTTTGCCTGCTGCACGCCTAGCCCCTTCTTTAGCACAGTAGCTAGGAATCCTGAAAAGCCAGTCTTTCCACTGCCTGAGACTCCATCCTCCTCCCCTAAGCTTTTCTCAGGCCAACTGTCAGCTCCATTTCTCGGTGGCCGTGACAGCAGTGACTGGCTGCTCCCTAACCCTGACTTATGGTGGGCACAGATATATTGGGGGTGTTTTCTCCTTAACCTCCACCCAGAGTTCACTCAGGAGGTGGCATCAATAATTTCTCAGTAACAGGGCTGGAGTGCTTTGCTGTCACCTGAGAGCTCCCCAAGGTCCCCTCTCTTAGCTGGGGGTTGGAAAGGGCCCTACTTGTCCCCACATCTAGATCCAGAGGCTCAGAAAGGTGGCCCAGGGTGGTTGTGGGGCTCCTAAAAGGTCTGCTCGTGAAATGCCAGCCAGGAGGACCTGGTGGTGGGTGGGCAGGTTCATCTTTGATTATCAGGCAAATGGTGCCCTTGGCTTTAAACGGGGCCCTGGCCCTCTCTAGCTCCTCAGAGCCTTGGTCTCAGACCTCCATGGCATTCTGTCATCTCAGAGACAAGCCCCACCAGACCATGCATCTTCAGACCACACTGGTTCCTGAGGCCATACTGCCTGATGGGGGAAGCCACCTGGGCAGCTCTGGGTCACCTGGCTCCCTCCCTGCCCACTAGGCCTGGAGGTGGTGGGAGGGGGAGAATGCTGGTGCTCAGGGGCTCTCAACCCCCGAATCTTGGGGAGGGGAGGTCTGCATACCTCTCCAGCTTGGTCGTGTGCCCTGGGCTGAGGGCAGTGGCATGGGCAGCACCTCTCTCGGGGCTCTGGAGACCCCTGGGGAGAGGGAGGTACAAAGCTGGCAATGCCCATCTTTGCTGACAGGACTAGGGGCTGAGGGGGAATGGGGTTTCCTGGGAACCAGGGAAGCCCATGTTGAGGATGGAACCAAGAGGCAGGTTTTACACTTGGGGGAGGGAGAAGGGGGTTCGCAGCATGCCCTCCCTCACTCTCCCCACTCTGTAGTGTACGGGGGTGGGGTGGACAAGGGGTGAAGCTGGCGTTAAGATGGTTTGAACTTTTATTCCCAAGGAGTGGCACAGAGGCAAAGACACAGGGCCTGCCTGCTCACCTTGCCTCTCAGAAGTCTTGCCCCAAAACCCAGTTTTCGTCCCCAGGAGGCAGAGCTAAGAAATCCTCAGCCCTGACAGGTCAGAGTCCTCAAGCCACTTCTCTGATGGGTCTCAGCCATGTTGGCCCCACTGAGCATGTGCTCCTTCCAAGTGGGGCCTGTGGTCTGGAGACCCCACACCCAGAAAACCTGCAGATGGCAGAGGGCAGCTGGCCACTGGGAAGACCACTCACTCTTGCCTCCAAATTGCTGTGGAGATCAAATGACCGACTCTGCTACCCAGGCACTCACAGTGGCTGAGGAATGTGCCCGCCTCTGTGGGCCTCTTCACACAGCAGGAGGACAGGGACTGGGAAAATGCAGGGAGGCGTTTCCTGGGTGGCAGCTGGAGATGAGAGCTGAGCCCCTGTCCCAACTTCTACCTGGGCACAACATTGAGGGCATACACATGCCTTTTGTCAGTTAGACGGGGCAGCCCCCAGGAGACCTGGGCAAAGAACCTGAGGTTTCTAAGCTTGCAGGCAAAAAAAATAAAAAAAATTAAAAAAAAAAATCAGGTAAGCAGTCAAGTGTAAAAACAGCCAGGTGAAGAGTAGACCTAAATGTGGAGCTGGAGGTGACTGCCCTGCTGGCCCAGGTCTTTGGGCAGAGCAACTGGGGTGGGGGCGTTCTGTTCAAAAGCAAGAGGTTCTAACTCCTCCTCCCTTTGCTCTGCCACCACCTAAAATACGACCAGGGTGTCAGGGACCTTGTCTGTGGAAACAGGGGTGTGGGAAGGGGCTGAATCCAGCTTTCAAGAGAGACTGGGGAGGAGAGGGAGGGACCCTTGACACCCCCTGACTGGAGCTCAGCTCCTGGGCTGCTGGTTTTGTTTTTCCCTTCCCTCAAGTCAGGGATGAGGCAGCCGGCCGGCTTCTCTCAAAATCGTATTGCCTATATACTTGAATTAAAAATATACGGTGGCTCAAACGTGCCCGTGTGCACGGCAAACACAGCAGGTGGAGACCTTCAGGCCCACACACACGTGCACACACAATGGGGTCTGTGTCCACGTACTGCGCACACACGTGTGTGCCCACACAGTATATATTAACATATATATTGCTCAAGTATATATGCTATTTACAGTATATATCTATATCAACATAAAACACAGGTATTTATACGTGTGTACAATAGATATGCCCTAGGGGCCTGGGGAGCACGCATTTCTGGGGTCACAGAGCCAACACGCTTGCTCGACAGGGAGGAAAAGCAAAGTGACATATTAGGGGGAACCGACAGGAAGAGGTCTGGAGAGGTGCACCACAAAAAATCAAGGCCTTCCAAGGGCAGAAAGAGGACTCAGGGCTTCAAAAGATGCCATGCCCACTTGGCCACTCCCATTTTAGAACCAGTGAACAAGTTACACGTTTTGGTTGTTTTGGAGTTTTGTGCAAAATGAATTAACTTAAAAAAAAAATGTGAGTTGCTAATCAGTGCTTGGGCCTTGAGCATCTGCACGGATCCAGATGCACATCTCCTGTATCTGGGGGCTTCCAGGGCGCAAAGGGTCCCACACAGCTCAGATATGGGGGTGGGGGTTCATTCAAGCCCTTCACCTGATCAAGAAAACATCTCTTCTGCTCTGAGCTTCACAGGGACAGCACAAGTCAGCTGCTGCAGAGAGCACCGGGAGGGCATGGGCCATAGCAGGCCCTGGGGGTCCTGCACACTCAGAAAGCATTCCGAGCTGGAGAGGAGGCACGGGGGCTTACCCCATTCTCCCTAGGTAGCCTCTAGGGGGACAAGCCACCTCAGCCTGGCTGGCTACCTCCCTGTGACCCTCAAGACCCCTCTGATGCTCAGATAGAACCAAGGCTGCCTGGGTACCCATCAGTGGGGCCTGGCTGGTCAGCCCTGTCTAGGGTGGCCCAGGGGCCCATATCTTCTAATAGATCTTTGCTCCCAGCGTCCTGCTCAAAGAGAGGGCCAAAGCTCTTCCCTTGTCCCTGGAGCCACAGGGCACCAGCCAAGTAACCCTGGGCCTCTGGGCCCCCTGACAGAATTCAGTAGGCCCTGTCTCCTGAAACTGCTGCCAACTGCAGCTGAGCACAAATACATTAAATAAGAAACTAAAACAAGGTACGGTTTTCTCTATTAAGGCTCAGATAAGCTGCCTCCCAGGTCAAGTACTCATGAATGTCATTGTCCCTGAACTGAGGGGTGGGTGGGCAGGTGAGTTGGGGGCAGAGGCCTTTCATGTCCCCCAAAGTGGGGCAAAGGAGGGGGCAGGATGACGGGGGAGCCCTGTGCTGGTCTAGTCAACTGTTGGAGAGGCGGGGTGACCAAAGAAACCCCAGGCCAAGAATGCTGGAGATGCCCCTACTTGGGGGAAACCGAGGCTCCACCTGCCTGAGTAGGGTCCAGAGAAAGCAGAGGGGATAGGAGCTCGTGCCCCAGGCTGGTGGGTTTCCTGGGAACCGCCCCCTCCCCACCCCCAGGAGTGCTTGTGGTGGGGAGGGTCTGGACAGGGTCCCTTGGCAGTCTTGCTGGGAGTTGGGGCACAGGCCCTATGGTTGGCAGGCGAGGTTCTGGGTGGCTTAGGGCCCCACCTATGCCCCATTGGAGCCTCACCAGCATATGCCTATGGGCTGCCCAATGGCCTCCACTCCGGGAACCAGCCCTGAGCTGATGGAACCAGAGACCAGCAACTACAGTATCCAGCTTCACGCCCTCGTGGGGGCCTTCCCAGGATCCATGAACTCGGCCCACTCAGTCCGCCCCCACGATGACATGCAAATTGGTACCCCAGTGTCTTGTAGGAGGCACCAGCTTCCTTCAGTATCTGCCCCCAGCTATGGGCGAGGCTGGGTGAGGAGGTGGGTCAGCTCACAAGCTCCCTGGGCCTCAGACGTCATTTTCTGGAGCAGGGGTTGGGGGGGGTGGGGGTAGGAGGTTCTCTAGAGGGTCTACGGGCTCCGGAAAGGCATGAGGGTATGGGGAGGCCTTGGCTTGAGCGCTAGGCCTGATAGAGTCAGCAACTAGGGGTGTCTCCTAGGCCTCTTCTTTGGGGGCTCTGGAGCCAATTTTCCAGTCTGTTGAGAAATACTGCAAGAATCTTCGGGTGGGGGCCGGGGGGCAGATGGGGAGGAGTGGAAGAGGCCCTTCTAATGCTTCTCTGCTTGGCTGACTTTCAGGGCGCTGATGACCCCATTGATGTTTTCTTCTGGTACCTGCAAAGGGCAGGAGGTGGCAAAACACATGAGTCCCTGGAACCCAGCCTCCCTGCCCCGGGGCCAGTGCTGGACACTCACCAGTGCGTGGTCAAACTTGAAAGTACTGATGTAGTAGGCAGGGATGTCTGCAGCAGCCAAGGGCTCGGAGATCTGGGCCACGATGCCACACTCATCTGGGGATAGCAGGGGACTGTACTCAGCCTCCATGTGGTATCATCACTGGGGTGCTGGCCAGTATACCCCAGCCCTCCTTGCTTCTAAGCCTTTCCCCCCGCTCTGCCCACAATGCCTGTCCTGAACCCACAATCTATCCAGAGATTTCCCACCCTTCCCCCTGAGGGCTTACTGCAAAGGTCCCTCCATCCAAGAGCCTTCTCTGATCTCCTCGGCCAGCAAGGGGCTTTCCATGCCTAGGGCTCCATCCAGTTCTAACTCTGGTTACCCTCTGCCTGTTTACATGCTCTGTAGTCCCGATTCATCTTCCCTGCCATCTTTCAAATTCTCTAAGACGGAGCTGGGGCCAGCATGGGCAATGGAGGACATGGGTTCAGGCCCTCTTTTCTGTTATTGACTCTTTTCTAGCAGGTGACTATAGCCAAGTCACTTCCTCTCTCTGAGCCTCAGTTTCCTCATCAGAGTCCCCACTGGGTAATGGCCCCGGCCTGTACTAAAGGCAGTGTCAAGTATTTGGTTGGAGCTGGGACATGACCTCCTTCTCCCTCTAGCCTCTGAAGCAGAGGTCTGTGGTGCTTCCTAGCCTACCCTAAACCTTAGCTGACAAGGAAGCCTTGGGTTGCCCTAGGGCTAGTCTTAGCTTCAGCTGCAGCTTCCTCCCCGATTTGAAGGCACCACTCGAGGCTTCTTCCTACAGGAAGACTTCCAGCATCTGAGGACCACTCTTTCACTAATACAATCCCCTGTGCTGTTTTCCTCAAAGCTACTATTCTGATACTGGTGATGATGCATTTTCCCAACACTGTCCCTGGCTTGGGGGGCGGGGTAAGAGGGGCAGAGGAAGCGTCGAGATCTGGTCAGCAGCCCCCATGGAATTCTGAGACTGGAGCCTGGGAATTAACCTGGGCTCCACGTCCATCATCACTGACCCCTTCTTCCCCTCTACTCCCTGGCCCTGGTCCTTTTACCAGCCTATTCGGGGACTCGAGCAGTGACGCTGTTTGTCTCTCAAGCTCCTGCTTTCCCCTTGACCTGCTGAGGCTTCTGGCTGAACCAGCAGGCTCCTCTGGAGGCTGGGCAGGCCTTGTGCCCGCACTCCAGGTGGCCATCTGTGAGGCTACGTGATGACTAGTTTTGTCCTGAGATACCTTTAGCTATAGACACAACTATTCCTATAAAAGGAAGAGGGGAGGGCATTAGGGTCTAGAATGGAGCCTTTCAAACTGCAGGTATGACCCATCTGTGACATCATTTAGAAGGCTGGTGACCAGCGTCTTATGAAATGACACAATGGAAAAGGAAAGGTCAAACAGCACAGCACATGGTTAGAGTGAGCAATTTCGTGAAACTGTTCAAGTTGTTTGTGTATGTGTCTGCTGGGTTATGATGTAAAATATATATTACTCCAAACCATGGTTAAACACATATGAAATGTTTAATCTTTCTAGAATCTTTCAGATTGTAAGTTATTTTTCTTGCAGGACTCTTTATAGCTATAAGCATGGCTCTAAAACGCTCAGCATCCCAGAATGCAGATCTACCTGTTGCCTGCTCAGCTCACATTCCTTTCCCCATCACCGTCCACAAGGCAATGAGACACGGATAAAACTGCTCTATAGCAACGTGCAGACATTTGCCAAAAGAGACCATTTGAGTTTCATCTATTATCCCACCTTTACTTACCTATCATTTGGACTTTTTTGGTAATATTATTATACTGAGTGTATTTTGATCAACTTAGAACTAAAACTGGGGATAAAAAGATAAGGAGGTATATGCGTCTTCCGGCCTCTTGCTGTGTCTCCTCCTGGTGACCCCTAGCTCCTACCCTCACTTGCCGAAGCTCTGCTGGTCCCTCTACCTTCAGGAAGAAGTGGTGGCAGACCCCCTGGTCTGGCATTAGGACCCTGGTTCTCTACCTAGCAAGGTTCTTCTCCCACCCACCCTACCTTTGGACTCTGCGCCCAGGGCCCAGCTGGCTGGAGCCACCTGGGTGCTGTGGAGAAACTATGTCACGCCTCCCTCTGCTCACACTACTCTCTCCTCCCTGTCAGTCCAGCGACTATCCACTAGTCAGCTCCAGAGTCTTCCCTTCCTGAACCTTCTCTAAGCCACCTGCTTTGACAGTGACAGCAACTGCTGCCTGCTGAGCACTCAGTATAATTGATATCTCATGGAGTGCTCAGAGCAATCTTAAGGCCATCTTTCATAATCCTTATTTTACAGATGAGAAAACTGAGGCTCAGAGATTAAGCAACCTGCCCAAGGTTACACTGGTTTCTTCCAGCCTCCTTCACTGATGAGTTCCTCCAGGCTACTTATCTTCACAACCCCACGACCCCACGACCCCACGACCCCACAACCCCATTTGCTGCACTAGGCAGCAAATGTGGGCCGAAGAAAAGCTGGAGTTCATGGAGAAGGAGGTTCTGAGTGACAGGCTGGGCCCAAGGTCAGATCAGGAACCTTCCATGTACATTTCCTACCTCTTGAGAAAGTAGCCCATGGTCCTGCACCCAAGATGGCTCTGGCTTTGGCCTTGATGTGGGCAGAGTTAGGGGGTACTGTCTGGCCCTGCTAGTTACCATCCATTTGTGAACTTGTCCAGATAAAAGTGCAGGTAGGTGGCAGAACCTGGCTCCCTCACTGACCCCTCGCCCCAGGTCAAAATGTCCCACCCCCTCCCTGGCCTGTCCCAGGAGCAGAACCCTCAGGGCTGATCCAATGGCCCATGGAATAGTCTGAGCTTTATCCAGAACATTCTGTGTGCTGTCTATGGAAAGTCAGGGTTCACTGATCCCACTGGGGATTGCCGAGGGTACTCCCTGGAAACAATCGCCCTGTGATTTATCAAGAACCTCTTCTGGGTTCAAGCCCTTGGGTCTAATTGTCTAGCCTAAGAAAATCATTTCTAATCAAGACAGAGCTCCGCTCCTAGGCAGCTCTCTTCAGTCGCTCACAGTGGGACCAGCAGCCTCCACCCAGTGCTGGCAGGATCAGTGCTGGGTAGCCCTTCTAACCAACGAGTCTGAGGCCTGGGGCCTCTAGGAAAGTGCTTATGAAAAACTGTCTACCAAAGACACTATTGGGGCAATTGTGGAAACTGACACTAGACTGAGTCTTAGGGAATTACTGTGAATGTCCTCCTGTGGGATTAGGTCACTGTGGCTCTGGAGGAGGAAGTGCTTCTTCCTGGGACAGAAAAAGTAAAGTGCCGGGAGTCTGAGACTTACTGTGAGATGTTCAGCAGTACATTTATTTATGGGAAGGGAACATTAAAAATGATAGTAGTCAATATCTGTGAGCAGTGGTGCTAAGGAGTGATCCCTGCCCCCTTCAATCTTTATTACGTCCCCAATGTTCTAAAACTAAGCAGGTATTAATTTTCTAGTGGGGTCAAAATAAGAGCACTTTGGTTGAAGCCGATCCTGCTGTTTTCTGGAGGCCCGTACCTCTTGTCACTCACTGGTCAGGGACCTCAGGCAGTAGGGACCTCATGCTCCCCAAGCCTCAGTTTCCCCACCTGTACCACAGGGTACAGACATACAATGGCTCTGGAAGACCTGAGTGCCCTGGTGTTTGGAGGCACTGGGCAATGCCAGCCCCTTCACCCCCAGTGTTGAACCCCACGGGGCTCACCAAATCCCAGGGGCTGTCCTCCAATCCGCACCATCTTCCAGAGCTCTCCAGATGCGCTCGTGAACAACAAATTACTAGGAAACCTTAAAAAGGAGCAAGAGAAAAACCCCGGAGGCTGACGTTAATGGTGTGCCCTGGCCAGCAGCCCACGGAACCTTCCCTGCTGCCTGAGCTCCGCCTGACAGACATGGGCCTGAGCTCAGGGACCCCAAGGACCACTCCTGAGCCCTCAGCCCATTCTGTGCCTTCTCTGTATGGGGAAGGCAAGGCTGGGGCTTGGCTGTGCAATAACTACCCACTTTGCTAAGGCTGGTCAGGATGTCACTCCCCAGCTCCAGAGAAGGGGCTGAGGGACAAAGGGTACTCGGATGACCCAGGGCCTTTGTCTCTGAGCTGCCTGTTATCTGTGAAATGGGGCCAGCTCACGTGCAGTGAAGGGTTGTGGTAAAGACCTATTAGGGACAAAGTGGGTGATGTGCCCATCACGGAGCCTGGCTCATCCTAGGTCGATCCCTACCCTCGGGCCCGGCTCACCTCTGCTGGGTCTGCACATCCATCACCAGGGAGATGTAGCCCTCGATGAGGGAAAAGGAGAAGAAGCGGATGTGGCCACAGTCGTCGCTGGCAGCCATTGGGTCCTTCACCCTGGGGGTGGGGTGCTAGTGAGAGGTGGAATGGGGGACCCGCTGCACCTCGACCCCTATCTGGCTTGCTTGCCTTGCCCACTGGCCTCAGCATGAGGTGCTGGGAAGAGCACTGGCCTGGGAGAGCAGGGCCAAGTCCCGGTCCCTATGCTGCCTTGCTGGGTAACCCTGAGCCACTGTCTCTGCCTTGATCTCATCTGGAGATGTAGATGACTCCATGGCATGCATGGAGGCGAGCACAACACTTATTAGTGCTGGAGACCCAGTTGGCCCCCAGGACAGGCTACATTTGCTCCTTCGCAGGCAGGGTTTCTCTGTCCCTGTGCTGACTCACATCTCAGAGCACAGTCTGTGATCACTGACAGCTCACCAGACTGTGGCTCCATCCAACCTGGTGCTGGACTAAACTTAAAATCTGCTCTGAAGAAAATTGCAAAGCCTGTCATCAACAGAATTAAAAAACCTGAGTTCCCAGCTTGCCCTTAGAGCTCAGTGGGGGTATTTATGATGTCTACATGTGTGCCTGGGCTTCGCCAAGTTTTCAGGTTCCAGAGGAAGAATGTTTCCCTTCTCAGAATGGGGCTCTTGGATAGAGCCATGTCCCCCACCACCCCAAACCAGCCCTTCTCCTGAGCAGCTTGCTGCTAGCATTCATTTAACACCACGTGTAGGAATGCTGCGTTTCCTAGGATTATTGACATTTTCAGCGATCAAACTACTAAAAACAGAATGCTATAAATAGAATGATGTCATTTGTTTCTAAAGACTATAGATATACTGTAATCCATGAGTTATCTTGGGGTAAACGCTGCAGCCTCAAGCGCCACTGGCAAGTATTCTTGGGGCAAATGAGAAAAAGGCTGGTTTCCGGGGCACGGCTGTGTCGTCCCCCTCAGAACAGCTCCAGGCATGCCTGTCTCCTAAATAAGCCCGGGGATCCTCGGCACAGCCACGTCTCATCTCCGCCCACCCTGCAGCCCCTCACACCCAAGGGGGCCTTACCCATTAGAGTAGAACATGACGTCCATGAGGAGTGTGGCAACGGCAGGCAGCGTGTCGGGGTCCAGGCTGGTGACACAGAACCTGTTGCTCGGGCTAGACAGTGGGTGGATGACAGGCCTCTGGACTGTGAGAGCACAAAGACAAAGGATGCTGAGGCCAGGAGAAGAGGAGCACTGTGGGCTAGGTGGAGGCCCAGGAAGAGGGGTGAGGTCCGTCAGCTGAGGCCCTGCTGCAGGCCCTGTGAGATCTTGCTCCTGTCGTTTCTCCAGCCTCCACCTATAGCTCTCTTGATACTCCAAGTTCACTCTCAGGTCATGGGCCTG